TTTATTTATCCATTTGTATCCATTTCATTCTTCCATGCATTTGTTTTATCCATAAGTTCAGGAACATGTTCATTATTTATTCATTCATTCATTCTTGTTTTCATTCATTCATTCATTCCTTCTGTTTATCTGTTCATTTATTTGTATCCATTTCATTCTTCCATGCATTTGTTTTATCCATAAGTTTTCATTCATTCATTCATTCCTTCTGTTTATCTGTTCATTTATTTGTATCCATTTCATTCTTCCATGCATTTGTTTTATCCATAAGTTCAGGAACATGTTCATTATTTATTCATTCATTCATTCTTTTATTAATTCATTCATTCATTCTTTGGCTTGGTAATCAAAGTAGGGCTGCAACTAACGACTATTTTGCTAATAAATTAATCTGTTGATTATTTTTTCCATTAATCGATTAATAATCAGGCAGCCAAAGGTTCCTTAAAGAAGATATTTTAATAAATTAAATCAGGTGAAACTAAAATGTTTCACTGGACGAGTTCTGGATTATAGAGCAGATTGACAGAAGAAAAAGTTATTTTATCTTAAATGCAAAATGTAAGTCTATTTTTCCACAGTCTTGGTATAATTCCTGCTCTAAGCGAGTCGCTGTCAGCTAAAGGCAGGTTTCCTGTCTCTATACTCCAGTTAACGATTAATTGATTACTAAATTAGTTAACGGTTATTTCAATAATCAATCAATCATGATTAATTGTTTCAGCCCAAAACAAAGAAGTTTAAAATTTTGTTCACATTCATTCATTCATTCATTCCTTCATGTATCCGAGGGCGTATTTTAGGAAACGTAAACATCAGGACTGTTAGCAGCTGCAGAAACATCTGGATTCATCAGCTTCTGGAATAAAAGAGAAATAAAACGTAGAGCTGTAACCAATAATGATTTAAAACGCATTAAAATATTTGATTATTAAATAAATCTGGACTGGAAATAAAGTTACATCAATAGAAATCAATGATTTTTTTCCCTAAAAAGTTAAAAAGAATTTTAAAAAATTATTAAATTTTTTTAAATTTTGATTAAATTCAGCAGATTTTTAGCCAAAACAAAGATTGATCTTATATTTTATTAAGCTTCAGCTCTGAGGTTCTGTAGCTCTGAGTTGTTCTGGCGTTGCTGTGGTGCCGCTCTGGCGCCGTTGTGGCCCGGTTGCCGTGGAAACCAGACTCAGTTCCGTCTGTGTCTCCAGGATTACGTGGAGCCCATCTACTTCTACATCGGGACGGTGTTCGGCCTGCAGGCCGTCTGCGTCACGGCGCTGTTCGTCTGCAGCTGGGTGATGAGCGGAACCTGCGTGGCCGGCATGCTGGCCGTCTCCTGGTTCGTCCTGAACAGGTGAGAGGAAGCCCCGCCTCCTCAAGCGGGCCGGTCCTGAACCAAACGGGTAAAAAAGGCGTGGCCTGTGTTTGTGCTGCAGACAGGACGCCACCAGGGTGGAGCAGGGGATCCCTCTGCGGGAGAACTGGGCCCTGCCTTATTTCTCCGTCCAGGTGGCGGCGCTGACCGGCTTCCTGAGCAACAACATCAGCTCTGCCTCTGAGGTGGGTCGATCCGCTGGAGCAGAACCGCCGGGTGGTTCTGGCCCTGCTGATCCTGCTCTGTTCCTCTGCAGATGTTCTGCTACCTCACCATGAGCGCCTCCACCTTCACCTTCCTGCTGCTCTGGGAACACGGACACTACGTCCTGTTCGTCCAAGGCCTCTGCTTGTTCCTGCTGGACTCGCTGGACCTGGTTCCGCAGCGGAAGGTAAGCATGGCGCCGCTGTCGGCTCGGATAGACAGAACCGGTTTAACGGACCCACTGAAGAACCAGGAGACGGTGACAAACCGGGCCTGTTTGGACCTCCATCCATCCACCAGAACCTGCAGGTCACAGGAAGACTCTGCTAGACCCAGTAAAGTCCACCTTTCCAGGTTTTCCTTCAGATTCTGCTTAGTTTCGTAAAATTACACTAAAATAAAAGCAGAACTGAAGGGGGATCCGTCAGGAAAATATGTTACACCAATCATTTAATAAGAAAATATCCAACCACTCAATTAGAAATGTGTTGATTTTTAGCAAAAATGATTTATAAAAAAAAAAGAAAAAAACTAAACTACGAAATAAAAATTGTTATTCAGATAAACAGATCGATAACCAAAAATGCTTCAAAACCAAAATATAAGTTAGATTCAAAACACTATTTATATAAAAAGTCCAAAATTGCCAGTTTTTATTTTAGGAATAATGTCCAGAAAGGAGTTCCGTATCGTCCAAACCAAAAACAAAACTGTCCTGGAAGTGTTTTTCCCTTTAAATTAAAATAATAAAAAATCAAAAAGTCAAACTCCTGAGGTTGCTGGTTCGAGACCCACCTCAGACTTTTGAAAGTTGCGATTATATTTAAGTACTGTGGCTAATGTGACTAATTTTTTTATTGGTTTGCCGTACTCTGCCAAATTAGATTGGCTGGTTTAACCAAATGATTGGTTGAACACATAACATCCAACCCCATTAAAACCAAAAACTGTGGAAAAACTATAATGCTTGAATAAAATGACTAAAACCTTTTATTTTGCTAATCAAATCGCCAATTTGCCGATTTAACACTTAAAACTTAGAAAAGATTTTAAGATACACACCAATCATTTTAAACTATTTCAAAGGAACTTAAATGAGGGGGAAAAAAAAAAAAAATTGCAAAAAAAGTCCCAGATTCTATTACTAACTGTAGTTCTGCGTTCCACCAGTAGGTGGAGACAGTTTCACCTGAAGCTTCATGAACTGTGAGGATCGTTGAAGCAATTAGCTCACTACATTCAGCCGAACCAAATCTCCCACTGTACAGATCTGACGGTGTGCGTCTTCGTCTCCGACTGAGCCGCCGTGCGCCGACGCACGCTGACGCACGCCGACGCACGCCGACGCACGCCGACGCACGCGCCCCTTCTGATCCACTAATTCATCAGCACAGCTCTCCTTTCCTTCTGTATTGCAGAGGAGCTGCTGCGCTTGGACAACTTTTAACGACAGGCAATGGGTGGAAATCCGTCACCAATCCGACGAAAAAAAATTACGCTTTACTCATCATTAAAGATGAAATATTTATCTTTCACATCTAAGAAATATATAAATATATTTTAAATGTTTACTTAAAGTTATATTATAAAATCTATATATATATATATATATATATATATATATATATATATATATATATATATATATATATATATATATGTATATGTTATGTTTTAATCAGGTCATTTGGTGGGTGGGGCGGCGGTGCACCAGCGCCCTCTATTGGCAAGCTGCCACTGGTTCTGACCCAGTAGAATATCAGAACCTTTTCTTTTTGTCCAGTTCTGGGTCCAGTTGTAGGACTTTGGTCTCTTTCCTGCCTGAGTGTCTCCCTCTGCTGGAAGACTTCCTGGTTTCTGACCAATCAGAGCCCAGCGTGCAGAGGGACACGCCCTCCAGGCAAGAAACTGGACCTGTAGGTTCTGTTCGGTCTGTTCGATCTCCAGAACCAGCAGCAGAGCCGTTTACCTGCAGAAGGTTCTGGTTTCTGGGGTGGGTCACCACGGCAACCGGTTCCTTCCTGAGATTGATGTCAGGCTGCGTTTTGATTGGCTGCTTTTTATTTCTGTTATTCCTCCTTTCCGCTCGTTTGGAGTCGGAACCAGACTCTGCCTGGTGGGTTTGTTGTGCGGTTCTGTCCGGTTTGATCAGAACCGTAGAGACGACCAGCAGCCGGGACCGACCCGTCTGACCCGTTTGACCCGTCTGACCCGTTTAACCCGTCTGACCCGTCTGTCCTTCCTCCGCGCAGACGGCCGACATCAACAAGATCTACCTCAGCTCCCTGGTTCTGGTCTACCTGTTCCAGTTCCAGAACTCCGCCCTGCTCGCCTCGCCGCTGCTCTGCCTCCTGATTGGCTCGGCCGTGGCTCGGTCCTTCCAGGTAGCCCCTCCCCCCTGAGCCCTGATTGGTTGTGGGAGGGTTTCTGTGCCTGAATGAGGCTGTTGTTTCTGCTGCAGAGGAAGATGAGGATGGGTCCTCTGCTCGCCCGCGTGATGAAGCTGCTGCTGCACTTCCACCTGGTTTTCACCGCTGGGATCAGCTTTGCTTACCTCATCAAGGTAAATCAGCAGGACGCCGCCGCTCTGCGCTTAGCTCACTGATGCATCTGAACCGCCTGGCTTTGTTTTCAGAAGCTGTCCCCCGTCGGCAGCAGCGACTTCACCCTGAAGCTCCTGGAGGTCAAATTTGGGCTGAACACCACGACGTGAGTCAGAAGCTTCCTGTCGGGGCTCCGCCCCCTTCATCATAACCTGCCGTCTCATTTTTCCTTCTGCTGCAGAGACTTCGTCACCAACTTCCTGCTGTGTCAGGACGGGCTGCGGGCCGCCGGTCAGAACCTGTTCCTGCGGCTGACCCAGACCTCCGTCCTCCCGTTCTACGTCCTGGTCCTCGCCGTCTGCCTGCTGTCCACGCTGCAGACCGTCTGCAGGAAGCTCAGGTGAGGCGCCTTGCAGAGAGCCGAGCACCGAACGCCGTCAGGACGGGATCAGGAACATCTGGATGAGAGGACAGTGTTAGGGCTGAGTGGATTACAAATTAAAGGTTTTAAAATTAGGACTTTAAAGCCTTAAGATTAGCAGATTAAAGTAAACAAATTAGGAGATTAAAGGCATAAATTAATAAATAAAAGTCGTTAGATGAGGAGAATAAAAGTCATAATCTGGGGAGAATAAAGCCGTAAATTTACAAGATTAAAGTCATGAAATGAGGAGAATTATAAATTTAAGGTTGTAAAATTAGGAGATTAAAGGCATAAATGTAGAGAATAACGTCCGAATGTTTCGAGTATAAAGTTGTGGTTCTGTGGTCCAGATAGCCGTTATAGGATCCAAACGTAACGGTTCTGATACGTGGCTCTATGTGCGATTTTGGCGTTTGACCAATCAGATGAGCCCATGAATGATTTATTACCTACTTTAGATTAAGTTTTGAAAAAAAACGTTAACCAGTTAAAAAAGTAAAAAACTGTCATTTCCTGTATCGGCATTAAAGCTTTAACGTTATGCTGGAGCAAAAAACTATGAATGTTTTTCATGGATTCCTTATTAAAGGTGTTTTGTTATTTATTCTTAAAGGAAAAGTTCGTTTATCAAAGAATATGATGATCAAAATAATCGATAGATCATTATTTATACATAAAACTAGTACATTCGCAGTGATTTAATGAATTTAGCATTAAATCAGTAAAATAAATAAAAACAATAATTTCCATAGCGATCACTGAGTCTGGGAGCGGCCATTTTCACCCAAATATAGTAGCCCCTCCCTCCTGCCATCTTCCAGCAGTGACGTCACGGTGCGGTAAGCCTAGCGCCATTCTCCCCGCTTT